TGGTGGGGCCGAGAAGAGTCTCCTCGGCTAAGGCATGGAAAATGGGTAAAAGAGATTGCCGGGACATTCCCACAGCTCTGCATTAGTATAAAGTAAGAGGGCAGCATGGCAGGGGCTTACCAGCTGAGAAATCTAAAGGGGCAACAATAAAGGGAGCAACTTCTGAATTGGAAGGGCCGATAGGCCGCAACCTTTGTGGAGGACAGAGAGCAGGTACAGCAACAACTCTGTTTCCAACATGGAAACCACCCAGCGATTTACTGAAATAGAGGTTTTGTTATTGTTATATGCTATGGAGTCGGTTCCAAAACAGGGTTTCCGAGACTGTAAACCTTTACAAGAGCAGAAAGCCTCATCTTTCTCCCTCGGAACAACTGGTAGTTTCGAACTGCTGACCTTGAGGTTTGCAGCCTGATTTGTAACCACTATACTACCAGAGCTAATAGAGGTGTAAAGGTCTTTTTTCTTGGTTTTTTCTTTCCTTCATCCATTCTTGTTGCTCTCCCTTGTCACATCCACTCTGTCTGGTCTGGGTATCTTCACGCAGGTGGGAGCACACCCCCAGAGAAGGTCCAGCATTGCGCTCACAGGGTTTGCAACTTGCAGAACATTTGGCATTGCCATCCTAAGTTGCACAGGGCAAGGATTACCCAGGGCAAGGATTTTCTTACCGCTCAAACAGGAAACATCCAGAAGTCTCAATAGGCTTTGGAGGCTAATTTTTGACTGGTTGTTATGAAGTTTGACTTTGGGATTTAGTCTTGAATTTGGCCCTTCTCCTACTCTGGTGGGAGTTTTTATTCATGCCTCCCCTGACAAAAGATGGGCAACTCTGGCCATACAGCCAAGCTACATTTATACCCTGTAAATCCCCAACAAAAAAGCAAGAGCAAATACCAGCTGCTGAATATCAGAACAGCATGTACAGCGAGCACCTGTTAAAAACACTCCAAAGGCAGCCATAAGAACAGTGAACAGAGTAGTCTATCTCCTGATCACACCCAGCATGAGAGAATTTGGAGTGTGCTTAAGATCACACCATTATACATCCATCTAATTAGCACAAATACAACAGTACTCCAGTGCCTAAATGGTAGCAGGAAAATTCTTCTCATGTGCAGAAGCAAGATAGAGTAGCTCAAGTGACCTAGAGGAAGAACTAGGATAGGTATTAGAGGGTGAAGAGACTCTGGATTTGGCTGTAGGGAAATTTAGGAGAATGATACTAAGGTGCATCCAAATGTTCCACAGAAAAGCCAAGGGAAAAAAAAAAAGGAAGTAGTCAAAAGCATTACAGTACAGGGATAGGAAACAAAACTCAACCAAACAGTGTTTTAAAAAAATGAAGACCCTGCAGAAAGAGATTCAGACTATTAATGCCAAAATATCAGATATGGACAATACATTGCAAGAGCAAAGGAGTAGAATTGGAGAGATGGAAGCCAGAATCAGTGAACTTGAAGACAAATCTTACAATAATGTTAAGATAAAAGAACAAGCAGAAAAAAAATCTGAAGAAAACCTAAGACT